TTTTTTTTACACGAATGTGAGAATTTGATGAGATTTTCAGTAATAAATACTAACCATCTTCACCTGGTGGTCTTACTCTCCAATCATAACCTTTGCTGAGAAGTTTCTCAAGAAGCTTCGTATCCGAAGACTGCGGCTGTTCGATAGGTTTTCGCTCCTAAGTCTCATCAGCTGATCTATCAAGACTGGGAGCAATCAACTGCATCTTCCCAGCTTACCTCTACTCTTATCCGCGCAATATTTTCTAATGTTGTTGGAGAGTCACTGACAGTATCTGCGGGAGGTACTGTCGTCTCATCCACATTGGGATCTCCATTTTCAAATGTTGGATCTTCTTTTTCGTATCTGATTTTATAACCTTGGATTTTGATATTTATGAAAAGAAAAAGTCATTGCTCTTAATTATTAACAGAATAGGACAACGAACTCAATCGAGTCTAGATCGCCGGCAAGAATTTCGTCGAGATCATCCACCTCCAAAGCCTCTCGTGATGACTGCATTCCCACAGACACGAGCTGCTGCTCATCTAAGCTGACATTCCGCTTTGACGACAACTCGTTGTCGTCCTCATCCTAAACGAGATAAATGAACGGTTTAATCTCTTTATAACTCATGGCTCGTGTCTTGTTGCATGAGATAAACTATCTTCGATGAAACAGGATTTGAAATCATATATCCCATTTGATACGTTCGAGAACATCTACACTAGCTTAGAATTTTCGCAGTCTTAGTCATCAACGAGTTTTCTTCTGCATTTGAACGACATATTGATCTCATATGGCACTAGGTAAACATTCTACATGTATCGAATTCTTTGCTGACAACAAGGAGCGAGGAAGTACTCAAAAACTCATAAACCTTTGAAAAGCATAGCAGGTTTGGCTCCGTATCATATCCCTACTTTTGTTCAACACTCTAATAGATGTCGTGTGAGATATTATACTTTTTTAAGCAAAAGATAGCAACCTAGCTATTTAAAAAATTATCACTATTCCAGAGGAGATTTAACCTGCTACATGTCGAGTTAGTGGTACATAAGGCCGAATTTGCTATCTTTAATTCGCTGACAACAATTTTTCCTTGCTCAACTTCAATAGCTATTCTTGAAAAAACACATGGATTTGAGCGTATTTGTGCATTAGTAATGCACATGAGATGGTGTAGCAGATGACTCAGAAACCATTTTTTTGGAGGTACCTTAGGCTATATCTTTCTAATAGAAGGATTCTTATGGATTTAACGCTATCTAGGAGAGCGGTTCCCTCAAGGTTTCTATTTTATGCCAGCGAAGTGGAACAGTGGAAGTAGTGGAACACACCCCAAATAAGCCACTTGAAATTTATTGATGTTGCATGAGTAAATAAGATTGAAGTGCTGTATGTGCTAGAAAGGTGTCAGTTGCTGCAGTCATACAGATTTATTCTAACAAAAGCCCATTGACTGTATCTGACGCTGGGTTCAACATTCTTCAGAATGCAAAGGTGAGCAGTAATAGATGCGGAAGTCTGGGAGTTCGAATTTTGAAAAGGAAGCATTTTCAATACTCTAAAGTAAGGTCCTTAAAGGCTACTGTGCCCGACTGGTAGCTTAGATAACATTTCCTCTAGCCAAAATTTTCAATACCCAATATATCTTTCTGCGCTAGGACTTGAAAGGATGTACATGGGTGAAAATGACAAAAAAAAAGAACTTTAACAATTGTCCATAAAATGTCCTGCTTAACAATTTACCCACACTATAGCGGAAGACGCATAGAAAAAAGTGTTATTGCCAAGTGACACTACTCTACATGTAATCAGTCTAAGTCACAGGAAAATTTTTTAGAGATCTCTAGTATAATCTGATATGTTGCTAATTTTTCCTGCTTAAAATGCAGCTTAATATAACCTGCGTTGCTTGTTGTAACGACCTTTAGAATTTTGTGCAATCGGTGTGTTACAATCTAAAAGTTCCGCAGGCCTTGCTAGTTTTTCAAGCTCTAGCTTGAAAATATTTTAGATTCGTGTCTGTTTCATGTTCACTGTATCAAATCCTATCCGAAACTGCGTCGCTCCTTTAGTGTTTCTAATTTAGTTTAAAGGAACAATCTACTCATCATAAGAAAATTACAGCTCGCTCAGGAAAAGGAAATTTAGAGGTTCTAAAACTTCTAAACTCGGAAAGCTTTAGGTTTTTAAAACTATGTATGCTACTTTGTCACAATACCTAATAAAACAAGTAGATGAATTTTGATAGAAAGCTTACGATTACATAAAACGATGGCGCAGCAAAACCCTAAACCTTTTTTTTCCTTCCCGAAAAAAAATTTTGAAGGTGACAACGTACCATTGATCGACATCTTTATCTAAATGGCGATTAGGTGTCTTTTTCCACCTTAAGGTGTTTAACTGCGAATTATTAGCGGTGATGTACCATGAGCTAGTAAGATAAGCCTCCATTAATCTATTTTGAAACACCTTTGTGTGATACAAACAGAATGATGGCTACGAATTCGATGAGACAAAACAAACTATTTGTAACTACATACTAAAATTTAGAGTGACAAATCACAGGCATGCAATCCACATCTTATAGCTACCACTAGAGTTCATGATTAGCAAGTATAGCTCTTCCCCTCAAAAAAAAAA